CCAACAGTGTGTATCCAGCCAAAACGAAATAAAGGCCCATGATAATTCTTATCCATTTTTTTAAAGTCATAGCAGCGGTTTTAAAGTTCAATCTCAAAGCCAGGAATTCTGTTTTTTTTTGCGTTGATTTTTATCAATGCGGCTAAAGATTCAATTGTACACCTTGCACACATAAAAATAAAACTGGCAACAATGGATGTAAGCATTGAAACAAAAGGATTCAAACCAGGTGCAAAGCAAAATAAACTGGTTTATAAAAAACTACAGAACCTTTCTGAATTGGATCATGAACTCGTGTGGGCAGAATTCAGGCTCACGTTTGAAGAACATTTCTTTCACTTGATCTTTGCCTGACGTTTCCTGAAGGACACATGAATGTGACGCTTTGCGAAAAAGATTTTTATGATGCTGTAACAAGTACGATAGAAGTGGCTGGCGGGACTTTTTAGAACAAAAAAAAGATTTGCGTTTTGCCAAAAAAAGAGTCCTACCCAGGAAGTACTTGATTCCACCAGACATCGAGTATGAATTTAGCGCTAACTAAGAACACGATTTAATAAGATGTAAAATGAAAAAAGAAAACAAGTACAGCGACAGCCTCCGTTATATTCACTATTACTGGAAGCAGATCACCTACTATAACCCAAAAGACGAACGCATTCACCTGGGCCTCCCCAATAAATACATAGCACCCAACAACGATATTTTTAAATACGATCAGTTTTACTGGGACAGCTACTTTGTAATACTCGGGCTTGTAAAAGATAACCAGGTGAAGTTAGCGAAAGGCATGGTGGATAATTTTGTTTATTTATATAAGCGCTTCAACATCGTACCCATGCGGAACAGGTACTACAATCTGGGCACTTCTCAAATTCCTTTTTTAACGTCAATGGCAGAAGAAATTTACGCTATTGAAAAGAATGAGAGCTGGCTGCTGGAAGTGCTTCAAGTGGCAGAGGGCGAGCTTGTGAATTACTGGATGAACGAGAAACTCACAGAAACACATAGTGTTTACAGAAAACTTTCACGCTACTGTGATCATTACATTACACACCT